TGGTGTTCACAGTATTTCTGGATATTTATTTATTTAGGCTACCTTGTTTTGTTTAGGTAATTACATTTTGTAAGTTTTTAGACTCTATTTTTACAGTAAAAGTAATTCTTTTTCATTTATATGCTTCAAACTAAGAGTTTGGATGGGATTAGATGGGATATCCACCAGTCAAGGTGGCTGAAGTAAAAATTAGCTTCTGCAAAGATTTTAAAGAGACCATATATGAAGATGGCATGACAAAAAAAATAATCAGAATTTGATGGCAAATTCATTTCTATTTGAATACATATGATGACAGAGATGACAAACTAAGCAAATGTTACTAAACATATTCCCACAAAAAAAAAATATGACTTGCAGTATGTAGATATATACTTTTCTGTTTAGAGTACCTGGCTTTATGTTACAAATTTAAGACAATACAACGCCATCAAAGATCCTAAAACACAGTTTTCTGTTAAAATGTTAGCTATTTGGTTGCTCTCTTTAGCTTTATAAACTATGTATTTATGTTAAAATTGATGACTTTGCTATTATTGAAGATTCTGAACAAAATTAAGCATAATCTAAGCAAATGTACTAAATAAGAAATAACAACTAATCCTTCTGTGTGGGCGAGGATGCAGCGTTTGAGGGTTTTTGTTTTTTTTTTTTGGTTTGGGTTTTTTGGTTTTTGTTTTTTCATTCACCAGCAGCCTATGTGGCATCCTACAAACAAACTGGTGGATAATTGCACCCTAAAATTTGTGTGGTTATTACTTCCCAAAAGAAGATGAAGGAATATCTGAAAATATCAGATTCAGAAACGATCAGTTACTTGCTGTTTATTTCAAATTCCGTATTTTTCATTTTTATAAATTCTGATTGCATGAATAGAGTCTTTAACATTCTGTAAAATTAACCCATATTTTCCTATTTATATTAACCCATGGAAATCTGTAAGACTATAAACTTTGTATGCAGTTAACCTTTAAACATTCAAAACTCACTGAACACTTATACTAGGGGGGATGGCCTTGAGACTTGAAAGAAGAAAGTTCAGGATATAAATGGAATAGAATATAATCCAGCTTCAATTTTTTTGTTGTTTGTATCTCTACATGAACAACAAAATCCTTATTTCATTGATGTCTCCATTCACATGGGTCAAAATGAGCAGAAAATGTAATACCTTGTACCAAATCCCATTCTATGATTCCATTACTCATTTGGATCATGGGGCATTAAGTGTGGTTTCTGTATATGATAGAATAGTTTCTGAGATGGGTATATCAAATAAAATATTGAGGAAATACAGATTTACAACACATCTAACCTTGTAATCTGAACTCTGCTTATCTTTCTAGTATTATTTTTGCCTTTCTCTGCTTTCACTCAATGCCATACTTATACTGAAATAATTTTTGTACATGAGCAATGTTCTCTACACATTCTCTGCCATTTTATAGCATACTACCTCTACCTGACCCGCTCCACTCTCAACACACCCCCAACATTCCCCATAATGCACTCTTTCCTGGCTTAGTTACCACTGATTTTCAGCTCAGATGTTGCTTCCTTCTCTGTCCCATTCCCTGCCCAGGGTGGGTCAGTTGTCCCTCAAGATAACACTTGGACACATCTCCTTCATGGCACTAAGCACATATTATTTTAATCTTAGAGTTCTTGTTTCTCCGGATCAGAAGGCAGAGAATGTATCTCATACATTTTTACTCTGAGTCTCAAACCGTTATGTAACTGTGTAATACATGATGATGAGTACACAACAAGAGATTAGTTAATGAATGAGCTCAAATGCATAGGTGAGAGCACAAGTGGTGTCTAGACAAAAGACAGGAATAGTCAATTCACCCAAAAGGAAATAAAATTAGTTAAACATACCTTGTACCTTGTTTACCAAACAAACAGAAGAGGTGAAAATTAAAACAAATTTGTGTTCAGTAACCTATTCAGAGATAAACTATATTAATGGCATTATTCAATGATAGTAATTCTGAGATAAAATGGGATAGTCATAGATTACTAGTGGGAATGTAAATGAGAATTTTTTTTTTAATTATAGTAATGAATGCTGAGAACCATAAGAGTGTTGAAGGCCATTTGACCCACTTTGGGAATTTATCATCATCGAAGGAAAACTTTTATCTCCAAGTCATATCCATAAATTCCAGACACATCTACCCAGATGTCAATTCAACAGCTCTACTAGGGCATTTGGCAGGCACTCAAACTCAACATATTTGAAATTAAACCCATTCCTGCCTAGAAACTTGGCTCCTGGTTATGAGCTAGAGAACATTCTTTTTTAGTTAACAGAACAACCATTCACTGAATTGTTGATATGGGAAATCTGGGAAATATCTTTTAATCCCTCCTCTCTACTTCACTTGGCTCATCCAATTAAATATAAAGCCCTTATCCACTTTACCAACTCCAGTTCCTTCTTTCTGTCACCTCTCTTACTACCTTATGCGGGGGGGGGGGGGGGGGGGGGGGCGTGTCTCGCATCCCTAACTTGAATTGCTTCTCTTGCATCCACTCTTAGCCAATCACTTTTGCACAGTTCAAACCAATTCTTCTAAAATACAAATCTTGTATTGTCACTGTCCTGCATATATCTTTCCGGTATTTTCTTATTGTTATTGCTCATTGCTCCTTAACTTGGTTTAAGAGGTCAACTGTTATACACTACAGGGCTCTCCTTTACTCTAGAGAACTCAGGTTCTCTAGTTCTGGGACCTTGCACTTGATTTACCTCCTCTGCTTGGAAGGGTCTTCCCATCTGCTTTCTCCTTCACCTGGCTGCTTCCTACTCATCCATTGGGTTTAGGCTTAGTTGTTATATCCTCTGGAAAACCTTAGCAAACAATATTCCTATCACCATGTATTTTTCTTCAGACAACCTTTGTGACAACAAATAAATTTGTTAATTAATAACAAACTAACTCCTGGCCTACTGGACTCTAGGAAGGCTGACATTATTTCTATCTTGCCTGCCACCATATCCTTAATGCCTAGTACACAGGAAATATTTATATAATAAATAAATAATGCAGTCACCAAAAAATTAGTTTTAAAAAAGAGGGATCAGACTAACAAAAACAAAAACAATCACACCCAATGCTGGAAATGATACAGATAAATGGGTAATCATATATTTTTGGGAGAAATGTGAATTGCTACAAACTTTCAGGTTAAGTAAACTAGCAATATACCTGAAATTTTAATTTTACTTATTTTTTTCCTCCAAGTTTTTTTTTAAGATTTCATTTATTTATTTGACACAGAGAGAGAGAGAGAGACAGCAAGAGAGGAGACACAAGCAGGGTGGGTGGGAGAGGGAGAAGCAGACTCTCCACTGAGCAGGGAGCCCAATGCGGGGCTCGATGGGATCATGACCTGAGCCGAAGGCAGATGCTTAATGACTGAGCCACCCAGGCACCCCCCTCCAAGTTTTTATTTAAATTCCAGTTAATTAACATACAGTATAATATTAGTTTCAGATGTAGAATTTAGTGATTCATCACTTCCATGCAACACCCTGTGCTCAATACATAAGCACACTCCTTAATCCACCTATTTAACTGATCCCCCCACCCACCTCCTCTCTGGTAACCATCAGTTTGTTCTCTATAGTTAAGAGTTTCTTGATTTTGTTTTGTCTTGTTTTGTTTAAATCTTGCCATTTGCAACTATGTGGATGGAGCTGGAGTATTATGCTAAGCAAAATAAGTCAGTCAAAGACAAATACCATATGATTTCACTCATACGTGGAATTTAAGAAACAAGACAAATGAACATAGGGTGTACTAGAATCTTTTAAAAAATTTTCATCTTCCTTGGAGCAGTAATCTTAGTTTTGGAAATCTATCTGCAAATATAAAAGTTTCTGTATATAAGGAACTATATACCCTGTAGGTAACCTCTTTTATTAGTTTCTGTTATAAATGCCCAGCCTTTCTTTATGTAAAAACAAACTAATAGGAATATATATATTCTTATGTGTTCTACAAAAGTTAGCAATATACACTAAACTTACCTTTAAAAAAAAAAAAGGTTTAATTAGACTTTATTGGCAAAATCCTCATTACAAAACAAAAGCTATCTTTCCATATTGAAAAATTTCCTTAACTGATTTTTAACTGGAACCGGTTGCTTCTCTATCCTAAAATCTTTTTTTTTTTTCTTTCTTTCTTTTTCATTTTGGTCAAATTGAAAGCTTGCTTAACTGCTTTTTTTCCTACTGTGCTTAAGAACAAAAGCACAAAAAAATGATCAATATGGCAATCAAGATAATTCAATAAAACAATTTTTCATATGTTTGCCACCAGGGAATGCCACACAGACCACCACTACAGGACAACAGAGGAGGAAACTCTAAGGCCATCTTTGAGTTAATTTGCCAGTTTTAATGTTTCTTTAGAAAAATTTGGTCCTTTGGTTCAGATACACAGTTCATAGTGCCATCAATTGAAGCTGTGCACAGATATACAGGGAGAAAATGTCTCCTTTCAGGTTAACTTGGTTTCAAACTCACAATGTGAATTCTCTATTTGAAATGTAGCTAGTTTCATCTAGTCTAAATTGGGGGTATGTATCATTGTCTCTTTTCACTTCAGGCCAGTACTGGAAATGAGATGTTTCATTTCAGTGCATTTTTTCCAATTGAAATTGTGTAAATAAATAGATTGGGGAAGACTTAATGAAATCATCAATAGCCCAGAGCCATCTATTGGCCCCGTGCTAAGCATTTGGCATAATCAACTGTCTAAGAGATTGAAAGTCCTAGGTACCGGGATTTAAGGTTATCATGAGCTCAGAGAAAGGGGGTCTACGAAAGGGTTGGCATAGTATCTTCATATACATGGGTTAAGTCAAATGAAGGCATAAGTGATCCAGGGCATTTTAACCAATAAAAAGAAACTATACGGATAATTCAAATATTAAAATTCATATTTTAACAGTAAAGAAAAACTAGATTAGAATTCAAGAGAACTTACTTTTCCTTCTGGTTTTCTTAACTCGTTGCCATTAGATAAGCCATATGATTTCTCTATGCCTTAGTTTCCTGGCAGGAAAAAAAAGAAAAAAAAAACATGGTTCAAAAAGGACTCTTACTCACATTAAGGATTGCAGACACAACAAAGAAAGTAACAAAAAATGGAGCTGACCACTTCATCCTTGCATCAACTGGAAGAGTACTGCATTTTTCTACTGCATCTTACATTTGCATTTGAAAGAGTCCTGTGGCTATAAAATGTTTGAACAATTAGTAGTTTGGAAGAGGATTTCTAAAGTGAACTCCAGCTCTGATGATTGCACAGGTATTTTAGATAAGATATGTAATTCTCAATTCTAATCATTAGTAACCTCTGTAAACATATCTTCAGTGACACAAGGATTTTCCTTGGCACCTATTTACAAAGGAGAGGGACAGCCCTAAAAAGGAATGAAGGAAGGGAAGAGAGTGGAGATAGATCACAAGGTATATCACCTTGTTAGCAGAGAAAATCAACATGAGCATTTGTATGCATTCTATTGAAAAAATTCTCATTTTATGACATTTTGACAAGGTAAAGAAAACTGGAATAATATTGTACCTCATTTACTCAACTTCCAACTTATTTGATGGGAAATATTTTTTAAAACAACCTAATCCTAATCCTTAACTGGAATCTTGAAAATAATGTTCTCCCCAAGTATTCAGTTTTTATTATGAAATATTTTATAAAAGAAATGAGACACTTTAGGAACACAATAATTCATGTCTAAAATTCCCATTCATTCTCACATATTCTGAATACCTAAAATGATGTAGTAGAGTCCTTCCTGCTTGGCTACTTTGATTGCTCTTCTCAGTGATGGCAAAAGGTCATATTGCTTTATAAGGGCAAACACATAAGCACAAATAATTGTGTTTTGCTGCAAATAATTAAAGATGGCAAAACTATTAATTTGTTTAACCAAGTCAATCAAACATTAGGCGATATTACAAGATCAACTGGAAGGGAAGTTGTGTTTCTGGGTGCATGCACCCAGAAAGGTTCCACATTATCTTATGAGGAAAAGCTAATTTCCATTTTATCAATTCCCCAAGATAAATGTGGGTGGGCAAAAGAGGGCCTTTTAGAAAAATCATGTAAGACTGTTGAATCACAAACCTGTACCTCTGAAACAAATAATACATTATATGTTTAAAAAAAAAAAAAGAAGGAGATAGTAGGAAGGGAAAAATGAAGGGGGGGAATTGGAGGGGGAGATGAACCATGAGAGACTATGGACTCTGAGAAACAAACTGAGGGTTCTAGAGGGGAGGGGGGTGGGAGGATGGGTTAGCCTGGTGATGGGTATTAAAGAGGGCACGTTGTGCATGGAGCACTGGGTGTTGTATGCAAACAATGAATCATGGAACACTACATCAAAAACTAATGATGTAATGTATGGTGATTAACATAACATAATAAAAAAAAAGAATTAAAAAAAAAAAGAAAAAAAGAAAAATCCCTAAATGGAACAGACTACAGGACTCTCTGAATCTTGAACAGCTAATTAAGGAAACATGTTAAGGCAAATGAAACTCTTAATTATTTAAGGTTATTAAAAGTTAGACATAGTAAACTAAACAACATATAAAATATGATTTCAGTTAGGTATGGGGAAGAAAAATAAAGTATCTTCCTGAAGGCAAAGAGGTACAGTCAGACCAAATTACCTAATAGTATTTCCCATCTAGTTGCCCAGTGCAGATGCCATTTTCTAGTTCTCAAGAGCTACATTTTGTCTTCTTGGAGTCAGAAGATTGTGACTATCTTTTGTGGTTTTTGTTGCCCATTTAGAAATGGTACATCTCACCTTAGCTGAGCAATCAGAAAGTCACCTAATTAAGTAAGAGATTTTAAGTATTGCAACACACCAATAGATTAATATCATAAACTTTCAGAATATTTCAAAAGTTAGATTTGAACCAAGGGAGAACAGCTAGAAAATAAAAACCAAAGCCATAATCACATCAAATGCACTGGTGTAAATCTACCTATGGGGTTACCATTCTCTCTTCTGGATATGTTTCAAGTATTTTATATTTTGAGATGATTGGAGGTTTATTTCAAAAGAGAATTTGATTACTGATTAAAAAGTTAACAAACTAGTCTCACATATGACTCTATAATATTCTTCTGCTTAACCACTAAACTTGCTTTCTTTTCCTCCCACTCACCTTATCCCACATAGGATCCACAAATTCCAAGTTAGAATCACAGTTCTCTGATATGCTCCCAAAGTGACAGAAAAGGATTTTCCTTCCCTTAGTTGAGTCAGTCTCTAAGGCAGATGGCTAATTCATTGCACCTGTAACCAATTAGCCATTCAAAACAACTGATTCTTCACAGTAAATTGTTGCCTTGCCAATCTGAGAAGCAGGTGCATATTCAATGGCTAAATAATCCAAATACAAAATTCTTTTAGATTAATGTGCAGAAAAATATGACCAGTTATAATAATTCCATTCTAAATTAAGAATTTAATTATTTCAGGTTTTGAATCACAGCTTTGAGAATTTTGTGTTTTTCATTCTGATATTTGGCTACCAAATTAAGCATATGTTTTTTCAATGAAAATTAACTTTCTTTTTCAAAGAAGACTTTGAATTTTATTTTTCTTCTTTCTTAAAACAATGAATTTTGATTACAATATATGTATTGAAACATATTACATTATATAATAATACATTTAAATCACCTGCTTCAAAACAGTTACCTTTATATGGAAGATTTCACTTCCAGCCTAGGCACCCTATCTAACTCCATGGAACTGGGTACAACATAGCCACTCTTGTGTGTTATACAATGAGAATCTCTGTGGATTATTCTCTCACTACAGTGCCAACGTTACAGACTTTCATAGGCTTGAACCATTTTATTCTAGGAAGTTATCCAATAAAAATTTTCAACTTTCTCAGATATATTGTTTGAATATGGAGAAAGGTTACAGTGATAATTTTTTTGGGTGGCAGATGCCTAAAGCACCAACTAAATATCCCAACTTCTGGCTTCTCTTTCCATCAGAATCATGGCATGATAAGGAATTACTCCCAAGAGGAGTATCAGACCCTATTTAGTTGGCACCAAGATCTTACATCTTCCCATCCCAGGAATCAACCTTGAACACATTTCTAAAGTTAATAAGAGATCTCCAAACACCTCAAGTGAAAGTTCTCTACAAGGAAGAGATTCTATGAGAAAGGAACTAGAACTCTGACTGCATCATTGTAGGACAGCATCACCCTCCTACCAGACACCCGGGCTGTATACTGGAGACACTTTCAATCCATAGTTCCCTTTTCACATCTCACATGTCTCCAATTGTTTGGATTATATTTTCCATATGTTTCCCATGATTTTCATTCCTACTGTCACTATTTTGATGCCCTTGTCTTCCAACTGATTTATTCATAGTCACACATTTTTTTTTCATTTACTTATCCAATAAATGTGAATTAAGTATCTACGAGGGGCCAGGCACAAGAAAGAAAATGGTAAATGAAGAATAAGGTAGACAAGGTATCTGTTGCAATGGAGTTAATAGGTTGAGGCAGATACTGACAAATAAATCAACATTTACAGTTTAATCGTAATCCAGACTTGAAGGTCATGAAGGCTTTCCTGGAATAAGTGAATGTCTAAACCAGAACCTAGTGGTAAGCCCCTTCTCTAATTAAGCAAAGAAAGAGGGAATAATTTCCCAGACAAGAGGAATAATCTGTTTCTTGTCTCTTGATGTTCAGGGTCAACCTTCACAATGCTGGCTTACAGATTTATGTCCTTAACAATACTCCAGCCCATGGGCATCCTCTGTTTATAGATTCCCTGTTATCTCCTGAAGAAATTACACACCTGAGATTAAGTTTCCAGTCTCATCTTCTCCAACAAAGAGTACGATAGTACAATTTCACCGTAGTATTAGTCCTTTGCTGAAAAATAGGAAGAGTTAATCTATTTTCTTTTGTTGTTTGCACTATCTCCTTATACTGGAATGCCTCACACCATAATGCCTCTTCCATCACTTGAAACCCTACTTATTTTTAAACATCTATTAAAATATCATCTTTTCTACATGCTTTCCGTAGCCCCTTCATTCATAATTAGTTGCTTACTTTTCTGAAATTCCACTGCCCATTCTTTGCCTCTTGATCATACTGTGCCTATTTTATTCTGTTTCATATGATAGTTCTTTGTTTATACCTGAAGCTTAGGCTATTCTAGCCTTGTGAAAGGCCCTGCCCCAGCCATTTAGAATTCCTACTTCCCATTCAAGTCTAGAAAACTTCTTCCCTGTTAACTGCTTTACTGCCACTTTGAAAATAGAATTTCCCACAATTTCCTGTCTTCCTGCAAGTAGCAGAGGTAAGTAGATACCAGACATTTGCAATGGGATTCCTCACTAGCAGGGTTCCCGTTAGCATCTAGATTTTGACCTTGCATATGCTTTATTTCTCCTCTCCTGCCTAGTGCCCTAAGCTTCCTGGCATCACTTTTCCTTTCCACTCTCCAGCATTGTGGATAGACTCCCATTTAGAATAATGGCCCTTTCTGCCATAGGAGAAAGAAAACTCTCTTCCAAATATGACAGAGCTTTCAAAGAGATAGACTTGCCTTTAAGAAATTCTGGATATTAAAAATCTTCTGAAGAGAGATTTTTTTTAAATATAAAACTCCTTAGATAAGAAAATCATACCAGGCTAAAGCAAATTTGTTTTTTTCTAACATTCTTCCACTCTCCAATCTTGTCCCTTAGATAGTCCCTGACACTGAGAGTTGTCACAGGGAACCCTTTCTAGGGTTGGGCAGACACCCTTCATCTCAGACTTGGGTAAGGATTTTAATGTTTGAAAAGAACTAACTCCTGGTCATAATATCCCCTTTACAGTTGCCCCAAGAATACTAGGTGACTTTTGCAACATGAACTCCTGGGAATCCTATGGCTCTTGATGCCCTGGAGTTGCCAAAGTAGGTTCTGGTTGCACACATCTCCCTCTGCAACTAGATTATGCCTAATTCTATTTTGCAATTT